CAAACTCAGGCAGGTGTTCCATGCAGAAGCATCTTTCAAATCTGGGTCTCTCACAGAGACACACACACACACAAACTGGAGGCTGCAGAAGGAGTCACAGGGTACTCTGGAGCAGGCTCATTCTCTAAGTTTCTTGGTACAGTAAGCCCATTCTTTCATTCTGAGAATTAGTACAATAAACATCATTCACACACCTTAAAACTAACTCAACAGAAACACACACACATTCACTTGCACAAAAGCTCTGAAACCATCAGTCCAACCCAGAAGTTTTTCTTTGTTGATTTATGTTTTATACTGGAAAAAACTATCAGAGAAGTATGCATGTCCCTGGGCAGACCTCCAGAGACAGGCTGTTTTTCATGACACTTTTCCCCACCCATCGTAGCAGTAACAGACAAACAACCTTTTCTTGGGAAAAAGGTTTATATTGTTACTTGCCAGGTTAGTCAATTTGAACCCTATTCAGCTATGTGTGTGTGTAAAGGACTTTTCTTTGGAGAGAAAAGTAAAGGTGGATGCACAACAACCAATTACAGAGGAAAGATTTTATCGAAAGGAAGAAGTCTCTGTGCTCAAAATTACTTAAAAGGCAAAAATTTATTGTTTTATGTATAATATTTCCAACAGATGTTGGATGACTGCTTAACCTACTATGACCAGAGCAGCTGTCTGTAGCATTCTACTATTCTTTTCCCTTTCCCCATTTTTGTTTTTCCATTTTTAAATCTGTTAGCGAATACAAGAGGACATTAGACTTTGTTGTCTTAGCGGTATGTTTTTCATGCTGGAATATCCAGCCATGACCCATCTTCATTTTTCTGGCTGAGGGAAGAAGACTCTTATCCAAGATTTTACTGTACATGGCCCCATCCATTGGCACCTCAATGCAGTGTCATGTAGTCTTAGCAGAAAACCCCCAAAACATAATAATCCACCTCCGTGCTTGACTTTAGGTCATACTCAGCATTTTCCCTCTCACAGATATGGCAGGTGGAGCTAATGCCAAAGAGCTCGATTTTGGTTTCATCTGACCACAGCACTTTCCCCAAAACTTTCTCTGAAACATTTCGATGTTCACTGGCAAACTTAAGAAAGGCCTTTATCTGTACCTTCTTGAGCTGGGCGCACTGCAAGATTTCAGTCCATTATGGTGTAGTGTGGCAGGGCAGCACGGTGGCACGGTGGTTAGCACTGTTGCCGCACAGCAAGAAGGTCCTGAGTTCAATTCCACCATCAGGCCGGGGTCTTTCTGTGTGGAGATTGCATGTTCTCCCCGTGTTTGCGTGGGTTCTCTCCGGGTTCCGGCTTCCTCCCACCGTCCAAAGACATGCAGCTTGTGGGGATAGGTTAATTGGATAATCCAAATTGCCACTAGGTGTGAATGTGCGAGTGAATGAGAGTGCGAATGGTTGTCTGTCCCTGTGTGTTGGCCCTGTGACAGACTGGCGACCTGTCCAGGGTGTACCCCGCCTCTCGCCCTATGACAGCTGGGATAGGCTCCAGCGCCCCCTGCGACCCTGAAAAAGGATAAGCGAATGAATGGATGGATGGATGGTGTAGTGTGTTACCAATGGTGTTTTTTGTGACTGGTCCCAACTGCCTTCAGATCTTTTGGAAGCTCCCCCATATAGTTTTACGCTGATCCACAAAGGATTTTGCATGGAGCTCCAGACCAAGAGTGACTGATGGCCATTTATATTTCGTCCATCTCCAAATAATCACACAAAGAGTTGTCACCTTTTCATCAAGCTTTTTGCTGATGGTCTTGTAGCCCATTGCAGCCTTTTGCAGGTCCATGTCCCTTAACAGCTTTTTGGTCTTGCACATGTTGGTGGAGAAGGAATTGATTGTGTGGACAGGTGTAATTAATTGACTGATTGTGGTCTATTTGGCAAATGGGCAAGCAGCAGCCTATCGGTGTCTCTCCATTAAAATGGAACTACTAAAAAAGTCTCTTCATTTCTTCTTAAGTGAGAAAACTTCAAATACAAATTCAGCAAGGCATCAAATATAATTATTTCCCACACTGCAGCTACGGTTGACCTACAGGCACTATGTATGGATTAGAAGTCTTATCTAATCCATAAAGAGCCTACCCCGTACCTGTGATAATGTTCACACAATATTTTAGATGTTTATCCCAATTAGAAGGTAAATAATGGAATAAAATGATTAATCAAAAATGAATAAAAAAGAAAGGTTACAGTAGAATCAGACCATGGAAGTAAAAACTAGTAAAACAGTTTTGAACATGTGAAAAAATACAACCTTCTATTTTGACTATTTTGTGAGCAAATAACTCTTCCCATCACCAACAGCTGAGCAGAGGGTGAAAAGGGCAGCCGATGAGCGCAGGAGGGAGTACAATGAGGAACAAAGGAACGAATATGAGAACTATGTTGAGGAGGACCGAGACGGTAAGACCTGAATTCACCTGGTTTCTTTAAAGCAGGTTCCTGTGCTCTCCGATTTAACACCATGAAACAAAAATTAAGTTACAGCATCTGGCGATTCTATGACTCCTACTATTAGATATGTTCCCTCAAGTCTACATTTTGCTGAGATTGCACAACAGCACATCAAATTAGGAAATACACAGCAGGGGAAAACATTTTCCTATTATCCTGTTTATAGCGCTAATGAAAACAGGAAAGGAATTTTCAATTAAATACCAAATGCTTACTTAAAGTCATTGTTTCTGTGTGCTGAAGGTGAAATCATCAAAAACCTCAAGTAAAAAAAAATGCAAGAACAAATAATCATGAATTATTGTCACTGATTTAACAGAAATAGTAATGGAAACATCAATCTGCTTTGAGACCCCTAATGAAGCACTATAACAGAAAAGATAGGCGATATTGCAACAGCCAACTTGAGCTCACTCTTACAGGAAACTGACAATTACTTGAATGTCAGTCACCATGAGAGGCCTCAGTCGAGACCACACTGAGGGACAAAGATTAAGTTTGGATCTTCTGGCACCCACGAGCCGTTGAACCACAGCACAGTGCCTGAGACTCCACACCAAATCAAAGTGTCTATTTGTGGTTGATCCCAAGCTGACAATCTTCCCTGTGGTCGTCTGTCACTTGTGATATAGCTGCATTCACAGTTTCTAAACTAAGAACTGCTAACCATAAAGATGGGACTGGGTTTTATTTGTAAGAGACGGTGTTTGCGTGGTTTGGGTCAACAAGTTCTAAAGATAAACAAGGTCTCAACCGAATGCCAACACAGAATTCGTATTTTCATGTCTCGGTCCATTTTTGTCACTTTATGCTGCATTTAAAATCAAGTTGGTGAACCATAAAGAATGGAAGAAATATTGTGATACCAAACTTTGAATAATACCGGAACTACTCTGAAGTGAGCACATACATTGCTTTGCTATGGGGCCAACAAATTCTCTATACTGTGCAAAAGATGAGCTATAGTTAATTATATTATTATTATCAAGTTAGTGTGATTTACTTTTCGCAGCAAGGGTTTCATAAAATTTCTCTTTTTGATAGATTTATTGTTAGCTTCTGAAAGTAGTTGAGATTATAGTTAAGAAGAATCAATTGCCTAACTCAGGAATGCAACTTAGTAGCATAAATGTTTTTTACCCCTCACCCATATTAAGCTGATAGCGTATTGTTGTAGTCGTCGTGGGTGGGCGGTGTCTACTCCCAAGTTTGTTAATGCAATAACTTGAGAGCAAGCCATCATCGGAGCTTCAAATTGATACCATAGGTGCACCTAGCATACTAAAATCTCAGCTAAGTTTAAGAGGTCAGGTTTCCTGAAAATCTTGGGAATGTGGTAACTGGGAAAAAAAGCAATGTAGGAATTTTAAAATTCATACCACAGGCGCATCTACTAGGAGGCTAAGGCATAGCAGTCACCAGTATTTGTCCTCATTGTAAATAGGGTCTGTAAAAACTCAGCTTTGCTAACACTAGCCTAGCTAGCTAAGACTTTAAGGCTCTGCTAATAATAAAAAGCATTATACTTTAGAGTCATGTTTCAGGCTATGTATGGAATATTTCAGTTCTTTTTGTATATGCTAATAGACAGTGGATAGATTGAAACAACCTCCTCTTTATATGACCCACTACAGTCACCTCCACCTGATAGCATCTACTCATCTGTTTTGTTTGATGAACTGCTTCCCGCCAGTACAAAAATAAAATGAGGTGTAAGAGTGAGGATTAAAGTACAGCATTAAAATTGTATGTTGGAAAAAGTTTGTACAGTACT